GTGGCTGGCGCCTTAGCCGCTTGAGCCACAGGCGCCGAGCCAATAAATCTGGTCTTACCACTGATCTGTGGTTCGTGGATTCATTCTTCGAGTCACCGAGACAAAGTACCTACTGAAGAGCGAAATTCCGGCATCAAGTGGACGTAAAAGGATTAAACGACTTTGGTGAAGAAAAGCGCGTCGCACGGAGTCATCCTCAGACACACTACTGTTAATACTAGCATCCACTCTGAAGTTTCCCAATTCCTCTAGCAGAGGCACGGCTGTACTCCAACCTCCGTGACCCGGAACAGAAGCCACGTGCCTCCTGGGGCGTGGCCTCTCAGGCTCCGCCCCTGCTGCGTGCACACGTCGTTCCACCCTTGCGCCCGACCGCTCGGTTGCGGCGCGGCTCCTGAGGGAGTCGCTGACGGACACGCTGACTCTCGCCACAGGGGACGCGCGGAGTGGACCTGAGGCAGGTGAGCGTCTTTCACAGGCTTACTTTTCTTGCTCCTTGGGCCGCGCCGCGTGGTCGGCAGGCTCTGACCGGGTCCAGGCCCTCAAGAGCTGAGCTCGGCTGGGCTGCGGCCCGCTGCGCCTAGGCGCCGGCCTGAGGGGTGACCTGGCGGGGGGCGGTCGAGGACACAGCGTGAGGCCGGGTAGGGGGCTACGGGGAGGGCGGAGGACCTCCCTAGAGGGGGTTGTCTAGTGAGGCTGGAGATCTCGGCACCGCTCTCTAGAACATGTTTCAGCGGGGTCCCGGAAAGGCCTGAGCGGTTCCTTGGGGTGTCCCGGTTGGGCCCACCTTCCCCAGCGTCACGAATGTGCATGGCGAGTTGACCCTTGAGGTCGCAACCGGTGGAATTGGCGTTGCTGGAAGAGGTTGCAGCCTCTGCTGCGGGGCCTGGGAGGACCGGACCTGCCCCGAGTCTCCGAGATTGGAGTCTGGAGTGGCGGCGTCGCCGGGCTGTCGGCTTTAGCTGGGGCTCTGCGCTTCCTTCTAGTGACTCACCTTTTTTTTGGAAGTATCCCTTGAATCAGTGTCGTGACTTTGTTGATGACCCGTGGTGCGCCTTGGAGCAGAGTGCCAGATTGGGAGGGATCAATTGTAGGGTTAGTCTGGGCAGGAAGTTGACCCGTCACCTTCTAAGCACGTTACTCGAGGTGTAATAATTGCTGTTTAAAAGCTAGCAGAACAGATCACCTTTCATAGTCTTTGCACATGACCTGTTTGTGTCATGCCATATAAATTGGTTTTGATGAACCGGTCGTTGTGGTCTATGGCTGTTGGTCCTTATTGTTAAAGTTGATGGCTATAAACTAGACAAGGTAAAGACTTAACTCTCTCCCTCCTAGCCCATTCCAAAACCTTGTGAATTGATCGTTTTCCCACTTGTAAAATGGGGTCAGTAATGAGACCAGGTTAAGTGACTTGGCCTACATTCCACAGCCAAATAGATGGCACAGATGATCATGAACCTGCTGATATGCCTCCAGGTTCCATGCTCTTGTAGAGATTGGAAAGAGATTTTGTCCTTTAAGATGTCTTCCCACCCCACCTTAAACTGTCCCCTCATAAAGAAGAAATTGACCTCACTGATTTTGTGCTTTTAAGTTTTTGGCATGGTGTTAACTAGTGTGTTTTGATTAAAATTTTAATTTCCATATTAAAAATTTCAGTGTTTGGGAAGGAGGAAAGGAGAATAAGGAATGTAAATTGTAAACTGGGGTTTATTTTTAAAGCTTTTTCAAGAAATATCCCAAGACATAATCTTTGCTTGCTAGGAGTTCACAGTTTAATTAGGGTATTAATTAGTTAACTTGGTGAAAGTAGAAAATATTTTCAAACTCAATACTAGGTCAGAACACTGGTAAGGGTGTAGGAAATTTGTGGGGCCTTGGAAACTCCC